TCTCGCCCTGCATTTCAACCCCGCCCCCCCCCCGGGCACCCCCCCCCCCCCTTTAAGTCCGATTCTCTTGAAGCTCAGGCTGGCCTGGTACAGCAACAGCAAATCTCTTGAAGGAGAATGAAGCAGGATTCAGCCTCTCTCTCGTAGGTGGGATTACAGGTGTGAATGGTGTGGCTGGTTTGAAGGACCCCTTTTATACCTGGAGAACATTCTCACCTTACTACTCCCATTGTAAAACCCTTTATGTAGCACCTACTGAGTACCATGTACTTCTCTAAGGTTTGGGGAGTTTTATTTCTTTATTATTTTCTAAAGGTATACTTCCCCCTTTGTTGTATTTTATTTTTACGTTGACTCATGTGTATGTGTTGGGTCTGTATGTGGGTGTGTGTTCACAAGTGCTTGGTGCTCTTGGAGGAGGCTAGAAGCATCAGAACCCCTGGAGCAGGAGTTTCAGGCAGTTGTGAGGCACGTAGCACAGGCACTGGGAACTAAACTCAGGTCTTCTGCAAGAGCAGGGCAGCCCCCTTGGTTTTCATTTTGATTTTGACTCTGTGTACTGCACTGCTTTTTGTTGTGGTGTGTGTGTGTGTGTGTGTGTGTGTGTGTGTATGTGTATGTGTGTGTGTTAGTTTTTCATGTAGATCAGGCTAACCTCAAATTCTAGCTAATCTCAAATTTGTAGCAGAGGATATCCTTCTACCTCCATCTCCTGAATGCTAGGATTGTGGATCGCCATGCCTGGTTCACACAGTGCTGAGGACTGGACCCAGGGCTTTGTATCTGGGCAAGCGTCCTACCAACCAAGCTCCCCCCAACCCCCCAAGGTTCTGTTTTTATTATAAAAGATGTTATGGATGGAGGTTAGCCCTTAGCCATCTCCCCAGCCCCTTCGTACAGCTTTAAAGCAGACAAAATGTTGATGGTTTTGTTTAGTTCTTGGAGATAGGGTTTCTCTGTGTAGCTCTGGCTGGAACCAGCTTTGTAGGTCAGGGTGACCTTGAACTCAGAGGTCCCTAGGATTAAAGGTGGACACCACTATGCCCATCCAGAATGACTATTTCAAAGCCCCGTCTCCCCTCCCCGCATTGCTCCTCTTAGGCAAGGATGAACTGTACTTTACTTGGTTTGGTTTTGTCTCAACCATTTCCTCTCTCTCTCTCTCTCTCTCTCTCTCTCTCTCTCTCTCTCTGTAATTTTACAGAGTGTTTACATTTGTTTACATTTTATTCTTTTTTCTAAATGTGTCATACTTGACATATTTCTAACTGAAGTACCAAAAAAGAGCACACATTGGTACTTCGGTTGACAGATTGTCACTCAGTGAGGAAACCCCAGTGGTTCGCAAGTCAAGAACAGGACATTAGCTGGGCCTAGTATTGCTTCCTTCCAATCCCTTGAGAGGTACAGGAAGAAAGGTCAGGATAATCTTGTTAATACTAGCACCTTTGGTAGGGTCAGGGAGCTAATGCAGACAGATCTCTATGGGTTCAAGGCTAACCTGGTCTGGACTGGAGCTACCACCCCCATTACCCCTACCACAATCCAAACCAAAAAAGTCAATTGACTCCAGAATATTCTTTTTTTTTTTTTTCCTTCTGAGACAGAGTTTTTCTATGTAACCCTGACTATCCTGGAACTCACTGTGTAGATCAGGTTGGCTTCGAATTCCCTTGGGAGGTCTGCCTCTGCCTCCCAAGTGCGGGAACTCAAGGCATGCATTAGCCACCACACCCGTCCCTCAGAATATTCTTAATCTCTCTGAGGTCCTGTCACTGTCTCCTACGATTTATCTGCAGCCTGATATCTGATTATCAGCAATTATTTTTTGTCTGTTTTAAAACTGTATGTAGGGGTTAGAGAGGTGGCTTGGCAGTTAAGAGCACTGTCTACTCCTTCAGAGAACTGAGTTGTGGTCCCAGCACCCATTGTGGAGCTACACAACATCATAGCCTCGGAAGGCACTCCCCTTACAGTGCACACACTCACAGACAGACACAAACACCTGCAGATAATGAAAATAAGAAAAACAAACCTTAAAAATGACAATACACACACACACACACACACACACACACACACACGTGGGCATGGATTGTGTCATTTCTTTTTCTTCTCTTTCACTTTTGATAGTCTTCCAAGTTATTTTATTTGTTTACACTTCCTTTCCGCTGCTGGTTTGTCTTTCATTCTGTGCCAATGCAATGATTTGTTAGTTAACTTTCTTATAATGGACAGTTGAGTTCCTTGCTTGGATTTGTTTGAAATTGGATACTCCAGGGCTGGAGAGAGGACTCAGTGGTCTCCCTGAGGAACTGAGTTCAAGTCCCAGCACCCACATGATGCCCTCAAAACTGGGTATAGCTCCAGTTCTAGGGGAACATTCTCTTCTGACTTCTGAGGGACCAACAAGGCACACACATAGCACACACACATAAATGTAAGCAAAATAACCATATATATATATATATATATATATACACACACACATATATACGTATATGCACACACATAAATGTAAGCAAAATAACCATGTATATATATGTATATACACATATACACACACATAAATACATTATATATGTGTTATACACACACACACACACACACATACATATGGGGAGTAGAATAAATGGGTCATAGTAGAATGATTCTGCCAAACCTAGTACTTCGGTGGCTTCAGTGCAGCAGCACTTTCAGGAGAGTGTGTCTGATCTTTTCTCTTCCATTAAAAGTGTTCGCTGTGGGAATCTTTTTACACAGGCTAGAAGGCCTACTTTAGTTTTCCCATCAAATGAAGTGCCCAGGTTGGCTATTCCCTCTCTTCCTGGCTCTTTGCTTTCCTATGTTCCCTGACTGTCTCAAGTACTGCAATTCTTTATTGATATAGTCTCTCCCTCCCTCTCTCTCTCTCTCTCTCTCTCTCTCTCTCTCTCTCTCTCTCTCTCTCTCCCCTAGAACCTGCTCAGCCTTCAGTGTGAGAGTATCTCCAGATCCTGGGGACAGAAAAGCCCCAAAGCCCGAGGTAGGAAAAGGGCCTTGGCACTTGTCTGTAAGCGCTCGGCCTTCAAGGCCCTGTGGATGGCCATTTACATCCCTAAGAACATTGATGACCACAAAGGAAAGGGCCATCTGCGTCAAAGCAGAAACCGACACGTCAGGAGGACACTGCCTTTGATAACAGAGTCGACTTCTTTCCACGAGGCACCGTGGAAAAGTAAGCACTAATAAGCTGCTCAGACAGGAAAAAGAAGTTAGTTAGACAAGTAGCCAGGTAGCTGGGGCGATGGCTCACTCAGTAAGTGACTTGCCACACAATCATGAGGGCCCAAGTTCGAGCTCTAGCCCCCACCTAAAGAGCCAGGCAAGACAGCATGTGCTCTTTACTCCCGGTGCTGGGGACACATCGTCGGTCGGTCAGCCCTTGGGGCTTGCTGGCCATCCAGGCTACCCCAGTGGTGAGCTCCAGGCCAGCTGAGGAACATCGGCTGAGGTAGTCTGCCCTCATACACAAGTGTACACATGTTTATCCACAGTAACGTGCACACACGTGACCCGACCTCTCCCCTCACAAATGAGAAGCCAGAAGATGGCAGGAAGAGGTTGGGAGATGGAGACTGAGATTTTTGAATAGTGACAGCAGGTAGTGACTACCCAGGCTGCTTAGAGGAATCGTATGTATGGACATCACCTAGCAAGCAGGTTCTGGGCGGTTCATACCAAAATAGAGTCAGTTCCACAAGGGGGCAGATGGCTTGTCACTCTTCTCATTATTGAGATAAAATACCCAACTTTACATTATTGAGATGAAACACAAGCAACTTAGTAAGGAAGGATTTGTTCTGGTTCTACTGTGAGGGCCCAAGACCACCATGACTGCAGGAACAGGAGGCACCCAGTCGCACTGAAATCAGGACACAGAGAAGAACGCTGCTGTCGAGCAAGTACGCGCCTCTTTATTCAGGAGAACCAACCCGTCGGTCAGGATGAATCTGTCTTCCTCTGTTAAACCATTCTGGAAATGCACTCCCAGACACGTCCAAGGCTTGGTTTTCTGAAGTGTTCCCAAATCCAGTCAAATCTACCATCGGGATTTGTCACCCCAGGTAATATGGACAAGGATAGTCACAGAAATCACTCCCAGGGCACCCATGGACAGGGAAGGGTGGGTAAGAAGAAAGGGGTCTGTCATCAGAAAGTCCCTCAAAGCTGCCATGGCCATCCACCAGGAAGCAACACAAAAAAGTCTTAAAACATGTAGTCATGACTAAAGGCCTAAGAAACACTGCTGACATGATGTGATTCATTTTGACACAGAATAATTCCACATTTTGTTTAGAACATTTAAGGAAAAACATTTGCCATGTAACTAATTAATATACGAAATACAGCATGGTTATATTGTACTGTATAATAAACTATATAACTACATATTATATATCACTGAATTGTATAATTCAATAATACAATACAGCCAATTAATCCCAGCACTCAGGAGACAGAAGCAGAGGCAGGTGGATCTACGTGACTTTAGGGCCAGCTTGGTCTATATAGCAAGCTTGAGACCAGCCAGGG